GCAAATTAAAATGTCCAAGATACTTTACAGTGACATTTTCTTATGCTCTTAACAGGCACGTGCAAAGAACTTGTACAGCTTTAAAGTCTAGTTTGATCTAAACAGGTTAATCTTGACTGCAGCAGTTAATTGAGCAGAAGACAAATAAATATATTTGTGCTCTGACTGGGATTTATTTTCACTCTGAAAAATGGAGGAAGTTGCCATTCCCTGTGGTGCCTTTGTGAGCCTGCTGACCTTTGTTGGTGTCACAGATGAAGCAGATGCAGTTTGCCCCTGTCTGGTTTGGGCCATACTGTAAATTTAGAACTTCTCTTGTTGGTTCTGTTCACATGAGCACCAACTGTTGCTGTTGTCCTGCAGCACAGTCCTCTGCTGCATTCTGAGAAATGCACTCATTGGGCAACTGGGGGATTACAGTTCCTTTGGAAATATAATTCAGTGTATCTTGTGTTATCAGAGAAGGCTGACAAGCATTTCTCTGAGGAAGTATCAATGGGCTGCAGCTGAAATGAATGAAGCACTTTGTTTCACAGGGGAAGCCAAGCAAATCTTGCACAATTTCTCAGCAGATAAAAGTGATTTGGTGACTGGACTGTACATTAAAATCATGAGTTTGCCTAATATTTATCCTCCTCCTTTATCTACTCTTATAAATTAGAAAGGACCTGCAGTGATATTCTGCCATGTGACCTTGGATTGTCACTCTGGAGCTGGAAGGAGATGAGTTGTCCCAAATTTCACAGATACAGAGAAACAAAGTTTTTGTGCTGCAAATATGTTGTGACAGGAGCTGCTTATTAACAATTAATGTCTCTTGTTAGGTTGGAGACCCAGTTGAGAAGATGCTGTAATATTTTTAGTGGGGGTTGATGGAAAAACAGTAAGTAGTTGGCTGTACTGAAGAAAAATAATAAGGAGGTTAAAGGAAATAAATCTGGAAATGGTTGTCAAGGAGGGGGATGAAGTTAATTGCAAAAGAGAAGTGGGTGATTTTACTGGGAATACTTTATTTTGCTGGAGCAAAATTTGTGACTAATGACATTTTGCAACGGTAAACAGAAGGATTAATTTGGGTAAAAATGAATAACAGAGGGCAAATCTGAGGGAATGTAAATCAAATGTTTGAGTGTGATGTTGTAGGAGTTCAGTTTTCTCCAGGGGGGATTTACTGTGGTGGCAGCACTGTCCGGACCCCGCGTCTGGGAGAGGCTTTGCTCTCCTTTCCCTGGGGACTCCTGTTGCAGTAATCCCAGGGCTCCAGCTGACACAAAGGCAGGGCTGTTTCCTGGGAATTGTAGCCCTTGCACAGCTGTGTTCTCCCAGCAAAGCCCCAGCCCGGGGCTGCACAAACTGTTCGCCTTTGGGTTTGCAGGCACTGACCCTCTGAGTTCTGTTGGACAGGGGAGGCAAAATTGCTCTGGAGAGCAAGAGACCCCCTTGATCAGCTGTGTGTGAAGAGCTTTTGGGTCTGCACAGGGGCTCAGAAGTCCTTTTTTTAATTCTTATTAAAAAATGTCACTGAGTGGTGTGACCAGTGCTGAACTGGTACATACCTGGTTTGTTAAAACAGCAGAACAAAATGGCAGGTAAAGGCCTAAGGAGTTAATTTTAAAGACAACTTAACTAAAACCAAATATTTTTAAATATTTTAAAATTTTAAATATTTAAATTCAATTTTTAAATATAGTATTTTAAAACACTTAACCGAAAACCAGGTATTTTTGATCTAACCCTTCAAACATTCAGTGATTCAAATAGGGCCAGGACAGATATTTGGGTTATTTATTACAGATGAAGGCAAACAGATCTATAGTGATCATTTTAAACTTTGTGGTCCAAGTAGTCATGAAAGTAGTCTTTCATTTGCATTATTCTGTAAGTAATGTCAAAGTACCTGTTACTTCAATTTTCTGTGTGTAGCTTCACTTCAGGGTCAGACAAACTTTTTGGGGAGAGCACTAGAGAATGTAGAAGCAACACTTTCTGGAGTTAGATAAAATCTCCTGTTGGTTCAAGAGGAGATTTAAATTTAGACTAATTCTCTGTATTTAAATACACAATTTGGGTGCTCTATTTTTAACTGAATTGTACATAAAAACTGGCTAAATATAGAGAGCAGCAGTTATTTCTGGAAAATGTCTCTGCCAGCTGACATTTCTCTTGCTGCTGCTTTTGTTTTAATACTTAGCAAAACAAAAGCTGATGGGCTAGAAGTGCAGAGAAGAACGTTCATCATATTTTCTGTGCTGGGCTGGCTGTGTCCATTGGCAGCTCTGGAGTAAGGAATCTGTAGTGGCTGGGGGAGGCTGTGTTTTTAGGGAGAGTGGGAAGCAGGAATACACAAGGAGCTGAAGTGACTGAGAAAGGAGCAAGTCTGGTCCCCTTTCTGCAGTTCTAGAAATACTGGTGTAAGGGCAGAAATAACATTTTTAAATCGTGCCAAGATAAAAGCTCTACATGTAATTGTTTACACTTAATTGTTTCATCACAGCTCATGTGTGGGTTAAAATTGCATGGAATTAAGCCCTTGTTTGCCATGCTTTGTAACTGTTGGGTGACATTCTGTACTACTTAAGTCATTATGGATGAGTAAGTCTTGTAGTCTGTAAACTTACAACTTCCTGGGATCCACACTCACGTTAGGCAGGAGTCATAACGTGCTGGGGATTTGAATGACATCCTGTTGCAGACAGGTAATATAAATGCTTTTGTCTCTCTTCTGCTAGAGAGTTATGGCAGGTAATTTAATTTACAAGCCATAAATTGGATGAAGAAGACTGGAGACAGCTCATATCTCAATTGGTAGGGATTGGTGGAATGCCACACACTGAACACAGGCTTCCCACTCGTAGAATTTTTCAGCCTAAATCTTTTTTTCATCTGTTAATCTGAATTTTGTGAAAAACTGCAGCTTGCCTGGGCTCATGAAGAACTCCATATATTGGCAACATATTCCCTTTTGCTTCTTGCATCATTTCTTCCCATTGGCATGGCACACCCATGGTGCCATCCTCCCATTTCTCATACTGTTAGATAATTTCAGAAGTTTGTGGTGCCATACAGTGAGTGACCTGATCTTCAGTGCTATCATTAAAGTGGAGACTTTGCCAAACATTTGCAGAAATGGGTGTTTTAAATAGCCCAGCTCCGAATTTTCTTATGCTTTCCATGGCAACAAGTTCATCTGTTATGCAAATGTCACCTTAACAGTCTCTGTCAGTGCATTGCTCTGTTTCTTCTCTGCAAAGTGGGTATTTAGTGCTTGGTACACACACTTTAATCCACACCCCACTTAGGTGGATGTGCCTCTGTCTCCAGGTGTCCTGGAATACCTTCCCAAGGCGAGCCTTTATTGCCCCTTGGTCAGTCTGCTTGGCAAATGCAGCGATTCAGATGCTGCTGTGGGTGAGTGCAGTGATGGTTAATGGGCAGCAATAGGCTTAGAAAACAGGCACTTTGGTATTAATAGAATTGCTGTGAAGTTTGGCTTCCTCTTTCTCCTCCTACTGTGTAAGCCTGAAAGTGTCTTTTTAAGGAAGAGGAGATGCGAGTTCTGCTGGAAAAAAATGCCAGAAGAACCTTTGCTCACTGCCTTTGCCCTTATTCCATAGATAATTCACAAGATTTTCCCATTTTATCTGTAACATGCAGCTATTTGTGTTGTGCCTCTGCAGCTTTAAAATCTGTATTCTGCCTTCCCACTTTTAAAATCATTTGACACATTAGGATTGGGCAGAATGACTGTGCAGAACTAACATCTTCTGTAGCTCCAAATTATCCTCTTGGCTCTCAGGAGCTGGAGGTTAAAATTCTGTTGGGATGATCTTTGTTCACTGTCAAACAGCTCATGTCAACTTTAGTGTTTCATCTGCTTAACAACACCTGAAGTTCTGCCTACACAAACCAGCTGTATCTGATAACTTCATAATGGTGTTGCACGAAAAAATGCCCCACCAATTACTTACAATAATGATAGATTGAGGAAAACAGCAGAAAAAAGGCATTTACATTTTGCCTTTCCCTGCAGGTTTTCTTACCTACTTGACAGCATTGTTAAAATAGGCCTGCTGATGATCCTGTGTGTGGAGCCTTTCAGGTTTAATTGACATCCCCTTTAATGAGATGTTTGTTTCCAAAATTGATCTATGGCTTGAATTTTGCCCTTAGAATTGCTGGAATATGAATAAAAATGTGCTGATTTTGCCTCCTTTTTACATATTTTTTTCCATAATGTTCAGTTTTAGAAAGATACAGTCCTGAGAATGGAGAAATCTTTTCATGTTGTCATACTTGGATTGTACTTTCGAATCAGAGAGATGGAAACCTTCCTACCTTGGGAAGAGTTTGTAGGAGGGTGTTAGAAAGGGTTTTATGTGTGTATGGTCACCAGAAAGTGGGATGATCTGTAGTCAAACTGGGAAGCGCTCCTAGTACAGCATACCTTACACTAACAAATAAAAATAAAAGCTTTTTCTGGCTTGTGTTAAAAAAGCTGAATTATCACCAAAGGTTCTGTGGCAGCACTGGAATTTCTGAGCTGTGGGGTCTTGGGAAGCATCCACTTGGGTTCTGGAGCAAAACAAGAGCTTTTTCCCCTCAAAGCACTTGGTAGGCAGTGGTTTCATGTTTTCTTTCATTTTAAGTTGGAAGGTTTAGAGTTCCAAAGCCATTCCCTCCCCAGGTAATAACAGTGTGTCTGTTCAGAGGTACTTCAGAGCTCCTCAGCTGAGCTTGCTTGAATCAGGTTTCAAAGCAGCCCTTAATGCAAGTACTTAAAAGGAACTTTGATATATTGTTGTATTAACAGTAATATTATGGAAGAAATATTGGAAGGTGATGGTATAACATTTAAGTAATGCTTGTTTAAGTAAAGCTGAATTGTTGGGCCTTTTTCTTTCAAGATTGTCATCTTTTTATTGCCAGCCTAGTACTTAGTCTCTTTGTGACTTATCCCTACTATTTTTAATTTCCCTTCACAATTATTCCTCTTTTTCCAGTAATTTGTAGTGTGACATTTTGAAGAATCCATTGGAAGAACCTCACCTATCCTAGATCACAATTCCCACAGTCCCTGAGCTGGTGGATGCTGTCACATATTTTTTGGGGCAGGCACTGGAGTTGTGGGACTGTGGTGCTTAAAGGGCAGCCCCTCTGCCAAAATAATGAGCACCTGCAATAAACCTGTGCTGTATCCTTCAAAATGTGGCTGTTGGCTTAGATCTTTAAATAAAATATTTGTATAACCTTGTGGGTTTGAGATCATGTTTTCAGCACATTTCTGTAATCCCCATGATTATACCAATAAGCCTCAAATCCATATATTTACATATCCATGTCAGGCACGTCGTGCCTACCAGCTCTGCCTAAATATTGAGAGTTCTTGGCTGTTCTCAGGGGCTCTGGGCAGCCCTTCCCACACAGGTGTGTTGCCCTTTATTTAGCCAGGTGGTTTTGATTTGGCTTTGCTCTGGGAGCAGGTGCTGGTCGACAATAATGAAAGGTTTTGTAAACAATGAAAGAACTTCAAAAAACCAAACAAAAAGCGAAATGAAGATACTTAAATGCAAACAGAGGAAAGTATTTAAAAAAACAGCCTTAGTATTCACATCTTAATAATAAATATTTTGATTGAAACACCATTTTTTGATGCTTAGTTAACTGAATTCCATTTATTAAATGTGTAAGGTCTTTAACATCTACGTGCTGTGCCATTCACAGTTGGACAAGATTCTAAGAAGCCACTGCAACATGTTCCTGCATTTTTTTCATGCTCCTCCAGCCAACACAACTTTGATTTAATTTTCTGGAGCGATTTATGCTGTTGTTTTAGGTATAGCTTCCTGTGTGAGAAAGGCATTCATGTGTTAGAGCCTGTCTGCAGAACAAACAACTAAGGCAGATTTTTACCGATGCCTGAAGGCTTAAGGAATCTATTTCAAAAAACATGACACCTACCAGGATTCTGGATACAGGAACAGATGAATTCTGGGGCACAGCAAGCTGTTTCTCAAATTAAAATTCAAGTTGCATCAGTATGTTAGAATTCATTAATCAGAAGAGTATGGAAATGATCGTGCAGTTGTTTTCTGCTGAATTTTCTGAAGGGATTTGTTTTTTAGCTTGATTATACACTTTATTTCATTCTCTTTAGTGCCTAAGTACTGCCTTTTTTTTTTTTTTTTTTTAATATGAGGGGAAAAAAGTAATAGTTGAAAAAAGTAATAGTAGCAGCTACTGCATGGGATTGATGCAAACTTTAATCTGAACCAGTTCCAAAGGGATTTAAGTAGTGAATTTATATTATTACACTGTAATTCTCATCATGAAGCTGTGGGGTGTTGTCAGAGTATAACATGGCAGTTTCTCTCTCCCCTTCAGCCATATCCTCTCAAAGTGCCCCCTCATCTGTGCTCTAAGAACACTTTTCAGAGGGTCTCTGAGGGAGCTTCTCCCGTTTTCCAGGACATGTGAGATTTGGGCCGGTACCTGTGGCACAGCACAGGTGGGGTATGGGCTGGGGGTGGGACTGGGCTGCAGTTATTTGTTGGCTGCAGATCTCAAAGAAACACCAGTAATTTCAACTCATATCAATTATTCTTTTCCCTCATTAACCCAAGGTTTATGGGGAGGCAAATGTCCCCCTCCTGTATTCCTTGTAAGTGGTGGAAGCAGCGTTTGAGCTCAGTTGTGAGTGTCCTTCTTACTTCATGATCTTAACTGGGAACATGTTTGGTGCTGCACTTAAAGGTTATTAAAGATAATAGCATCTTGTGCAATTGGGCAATGTTTAATTATAGAGTTCAGCTCCAAGTATATGGAAAGACTGTGTTTAACATCTTCCCTCCTGGCATCTGAGTGTGCTCATCCCAACCCACCAGAAATAACTCAGTGGTTTAACTGTTTCATCAGTACTTGGCTTAACAGAAAAATCTGAGCACAGGTAACTGTAGGTTGTTAAGAGGTGTCTTGGTTTTACCAAGAAAATAAAATATGGGCAAATAAAGATTGTTTCTCTCTTATGTTGTTGCTCTGTTGTCATCTGAACTCTCCAAAGTTAGTGGGAGTAGTGATCATCTGGACATTGCAACAGGCCCAGGAGATCTCATTCCACTGCCAGTGTTACACAGGTGTTGTGAAGGTGGAAAGGCAGATAATGCTCATGCTGACCTATCTTACAACATGCGTGAAGGAAAGGGGAGAAAAAAGAACCCTATTTAAAGTTGCAAGACAAGTTGGTGCAATCCTCTTTTGATCTTCCTCACTGTAGACAAGAACCTACTTTCCATCTGGTTCTTTCATTCCTTTTCCTTTCCATCTTTCTTTCCCAATTCTTCTAATGCCCATACACACATATTAAGTTCTGCCCTTCATTTATTCTTTTGGCATTGTTTCCATTTCACTTTCCCTGTGTTTCATTCCTGTATCTTTCTTGTTTAGACCAAGTGGAGGATCCAGCTGGCCTTGGCAGCCATGTAGGACCCTTCAGGAACCTGATGGTAAGTGCACGTGTGTGCTTATACTCAGGCTTCCACCAGGTTCTGTCTTCTGAGGCATTTCCCATCTCCTCAAGGTTTCTGTTGGTTCCTCTGAAACTGTGACTAAACTCAGGGACAGACCTTGGGCTACTCACTGCTATCAGAATAGTAGGTTGAAGTTTTCATGGAAAATCTGCAGGAAGAAAACGATGCAAATCTTTCAGGTTTACATGAGTTAAAAAGCACTTTGAGAATTTATGGGGGAAGGTCTCAACAGGTGTTAAATATCTTCAGACGTTCCTGAACTCCAGGTACTGAAAGCTGGGAGAGCATATCAGTGAACTATCTCTTTACTATTAACTTTATTCTTAGATTCTTTTCCTGGGCACCTACTTTTGAACGTTCAGGGCCATGAAATGATGCATCTGGGACAGTCATTGCCATACTTGAAAGAAACCTCCTACCTAGAACAAACTAAATCTTAAAGGAAAACATCACCAATGGGTTGGTGTCTCTGGCTGCTGTGTGTCAGCAGTTGGTGTGACACAGCTGAAATGCTGTACACACAAAGCAGTTTGGCTCTCACTGTTCAGAGCAAGGGCAGGTTTAGTGCTCAGTGGATCTTCTTTTCAAATGCATTGATGCTTAAAGGCCAAGAACTCATATCACAGAACAGGTTGCATCTCTTTTTAGCAGTGTGGCAGCAGAGCTTGCAAATGATCTTCTTTCCATCAGTGTGTGACATGAGTAACTCGATTTTTGTGTGCAGATCCTGCTATTGTAGTGATTTCCCAGATTATAATTGGATTTGGGGTGCTATGAACTGTGTATTCTGTAAATGGATGACACTTTGAAACACTTGTGCAGGCTTTAGCACTTGGCTTTTCTGTTGTTCCCTCTACATGCTTTACCTCACACTTGAAAGATATTTCCAATGTTGTTAAAAGGAAGAATTAATTTGGTGTTGGTTTGAAGACTTTGACAGGAACCTGTTGTTATGCTGAAATTCAGTGCTGCTGTGGAATTAGGTGAGTTGTCCAGTCACTTCATCTGTGATGCCATCATATGCTGCACCATGTGTAAAATAGTGTCTCTAAGCGTGGCCAGGGTTGGCAGCTGAGAGGGGCCTGTGCACCAATCTTTGCCTCCTCGTGTCCAATCTCACCTGTAGAGACAGAGACAAACTGAGAAGTTTGTCATTTAAGTCAAGATATTGATGTTGGTCTTCAGATGATAAGTGGCCTGCAAAAAGGTTGACAGCTCTTGGGGTTCTAGCAATGAAATGGGGTTTGTTATATCACTCCTAAGGTGTGTTGTGATGCGTGTTTGATTCCCCAGGAATGTTTTGTAATCTTACATTTACACCTTTCCCTAGAGATGAAACCGTTTGCTTGTGTTACTGTACATTCCCAGAGAGATTGCAGGTGACTTGGCAGATATTTCTGGAAGCTTATTTGAAATCCTTTATACTCAGATCACGGTACTACTGGTTCTAATTATGACCATTAGAGGTGCTGATAATTATTTTTTATGTTCAAATGGGACATTCAGTAGCCTGTCAGGTAAAGATGCACTTGAACTCCTTGTGCCTGTGTGAACACTCAAATATGTGCTAAATCTTCTGGAAGTTGTAGGTGTTTGATATAAAATCAAAGTTAAATATTGCATTGTCCAAATAATTCGTTGTAGCAGGTTAGACACGGGTATTGTTCCAATATTTGAGGATATTCAGGGATAACTGTTAGTTCACCTTGGGGAGGATGCCTGTGTGTGTTCCAAAGGTGACAGAAATTCATCCTGAGTGACTGTTGTCAGTTTATGAGACTAAAAACTGTTAAATTGGACTAAGAAAATACAAAAAGGTTTGTTACCTACATGAAACTGAAACACTGGAATTTGGAGGTGGCCTGTGAAATCTGAGCTCCTTGAGCAGAAATACAGATAATTATTTAGATAGAATGTTCAAATCAAAACAAGTGTTTCCTGTCTCTGAGCTGCTGTCTTGGGGAGTGTACTTGGGACTTCTCTGTTTGAATAGAGGAACGTGTTTTTTAAAAGGCATTTCAGTTTCTTGGCTCAAGATGTGAAAAATATTTGAGGGGTAAAAAAGAGGAACTTGTTGACAGGACTGTGACTTGGAAGAATGTGCTCCTAAATAGGAAATGGGTTTAGGGCTGTGATGGACACTTGGGATCAGAGGGAAGGGGCAGCGTGTTATAAAATAGCTTTTTGTGTGTTGGAGGGGGCAAAGGAGGAATCTGGATTGCTGTTTCTGGAAAGGTCTCCTTCCCAGGAGCTGGTGTGTGGAAATGGGAAGTTTCAGAGGAGACACAATTTTATGTCTTCTGTGTGGAGAGTGTGGGCTGTGCAGTGAATTCAACTGGAAGACAGTGTTACTTGTTATTACACACTCCTTATCAAAACTTCTGTATATTATAGGGCTGAATCTGTAAAATCAATGGAAAAAATCAGCAGTACTTTGTAGTGCAGTGGAAAATGAAGTTTTCAGTGTGTTTACATCTTGCACCACTGGTCAGCTCTTTGCATAATGCCCTTTTGTGTTCATTATCCTCTGCAACTAATACTTGCTGCTTCACTTTGCTAACAGAAAGTGTTAGCAAACTTGTTTGTGTCAGTGGACACAACAAAATACCTTTATATTTTGCTGTTACCTGGTTCCATCTAATTTGGTTTTACTGCCTTTGCCTTGTTGGTCAAGCTCATGGTGCTTTTAGTCTTCTCAGCTGTTATTGCTTTGTTGCTTTTATTATTCAGAAGG